TCCTTCCTACTTCCTCCCCCGCTCCTCCTGCAGACCGTCTGAAACCCACTGATCCCACCAAACCCTCCTGACCCCAGCAACCCTCCTGTGGACCCCCACTTATCCCTGAACCCTCCCCCCACAACTCCATCTGCCTCCTAAATCCCCCACCCCCTCTCATCCTGACTTAACCTTAGATTGGGTGGCCATTTTTAACTCAATCTAACCTCCCCTAATGTCTGTATGCACACTTGATGGAATAATATCTACAGTCTAGATTACACCAGCAGAATGCAATAGGCCTACTGTTTTCACAGTAGGCAATGTAAACTTTTACTACAGCTTGTAACAACCGCAGTGCACTTTAAGAATATGGTTCAGTCTTTCATTTTCTGTAGTATTTGGCTGAAGATAAATGTTCTCTGTTTCCTCAAAGGTAAATTGCATTCCTGTGATGATGTGTCAATCGAAATGAAAGCAGCTGAACCCCCAAAGTGGTTTTTATATCCAATGTTTTTTAAAGCCCCTATCATAAAAAAAAAAAAAAAAGGAAATACAGTGCAACTGTCAGTGTTGGCCTTCAGATTCTCTGCCTACCGTTTTTTTGTGAATGATAAAAACAAAGAAATAGAGACCCACAGAAATGCAACCTGTTGTGTTTGTCCCAGGAACATCAGAATTACCAAGGTCTATGTAGTTCAGTATCCTGTCTAGAGTGACCTATATCAGTTGCTTTACAACCATGGTGCTCAAAGTTTTGGCCCCCTGGGCCAAATGAATGGCACGAGGCTGATCTATGGGGCAGAAATGCTTCATATGTTTGTTTATTTCATATCTTATAAGAAAAAGAAGCTTTACTGTGTATCTTTAAAGCATCTTTGTAACCCTGGTAATTTTTTCTATACAAAATCAAAGAAAATGGAATTAATCGTGATTCCTATTCTTCATCAGTTTATAAATACAGTATTTCTTGATATGTTTTGAATTAGTAATTTAAGGCAATAATTGTTTTCATTCTAAAACTTAAAATAATGCCAACAGCTGGCCAAAATAATTTTGGCAGATTGCATATAGCAATTCTTTTATCCACTTGGTGGGTAGTATGGGTGTAAGGCATGACCTCAAGTCAATGGGAGCTGGAGCCCTATGCCATGTGGTCAAATTAAAGTGTAGTTCAAGCCAGCTACAAAGATGTTCCACATTAGAAGGCAATTAAATATAGAACATCTTTGTGGCCAGTTTGCCATTTTTATCACATAATAAATTGGCTGAACATAAGTTTGTTACAGTTTATTGCATGATTAACATGTTTATTACACAGGAAGTGTAAAGTCTGCTAGTGGCCCTAGATGACATCATAGGTTTTGAATCGGGTCCTATTTGCTTATACTGAGAATAAGATATAATCACGTCTCGGTTCCTTTAGGGCGGTCAGTGTAATTGTGCATGTGATTTTTAAATGACTTAAAAAAGATTATATAAGTTTCCAGCACAAACATTAATCCAGATACTAATCTGTTGTAAAGTGGCACCATTGAAGCCAATAGAAACATGCCAGTTCAAACCAGCAGAGAATTTGACCTGAACAAAATCTGATTATGAGAACAAAATAGATTCTGAATCTGTGGACAAGTTTTAGTTCTTAATCAGACAGAGGCCTGAACAAAAACCCAGAACAAAGACTACCAGAGTAGGGCTGAAGTTTCGATTTAGTTTAAAATGTTGTTTGTGGCAACCATAAATGAATTTATAATTACAGAAGTGAAGCTGGCTAAAGGGTAGATTCTTTGTGCACATTGTGCTCACTGTAGTATTTGGCAACACACGTTAAGTCATAATTAATAGTTAATTATGACCAAAAGCCCAGCTAATTAATAGTTATACTTTTTTGTGTCTGGGTCTGCAGGCCAGCTCCAGTGACTTTGCATTCCATAGGTTGCCTCCTCCTATAACAGAGTTTTTTAGGATGTGATCCTTTCTTTTGAATGCGAAGGAGTATTGCTTAAGCACTTCAGTGTTGTGTGTGGATATATTTGCTCTCAAAAAAAGAAAGTTAGACCCTGATTCTGCAGTGAACTCTGCTTCCCTGATTTTAGTGATGTTCAGTATGTACACAAGGGTCTCTTTACCTTGGGCCTTTCCCTTGGGCTGTTGCCAGGTTAGATCTTCAGATGATAAACTTGGTATAGAACATGGTTGGTATAGAACATGTTGCCTGATATTTTTATACAGTGTCAAACGTACCCTGATCAGTAATAAGAATAGCAACTAATTTTATGCCAAAAAATTAAGATAAACTGTAATCACACCTTGTCAACTGTTTTAATACTATCAAGCATTTCTCTCTTTTTACAAACACCGATGATTATTTAATTAAACTGTCTTTGAAATTATGTGAAATCTTTATGTAATTTTTAGAGATCAAACCAATTCGTAAACTTACAGATTTTAAAAATCTTATAGTACATCATGATAGCAATATTGGCCTGAGTCCATAGAAGATATTGGAGCCTTGGAGAGATTATATGTTAATCTTTCTAAGAAATTTAAGACTGAACAAATTGCCAGGCAAGTATTAAATTTCAGGATGTGCATGGAATAATTTTAAATAAGCGTTTTGAAGTGAAAACAAATCTGTCAGAGAGAATGTAGATGTAGGTGGAAGGTGGAGGACACAATCCACATACTGTGGTTATGTTTATAAAAGTGACTGTACAGATGGTTCCTTGTGACTGAACATGGCTATATACAAGTCTTGCTTCTGAGTCATGTTTCTCAGTTAACTGATTTCTTTTAAAAATATGGTTTATTAAGGCTAACAATGTACATTCACTGTCACTGCAGAAATGCATATGCTGTCTTTTATTGTGCCTCAATTATCGTTATCCAAGCTGCCAGCTACTGTTTGATGCTACAGATTTTATTATATGATGTTTGGGTCAAATACAATGCGACCTTACTTTCAGGCTACATTTTGATCTTGCAGTAATGGTAGTCAGAAAAATCTTGTTTGACTTTTTACTTAACAAATTTGGCATGAAAGCCATGGATTGGAAATAAATGTGGAAGATAGTTGTCTATTTCTTTTCCTCGAGTCTCTCACTCTCCCTTTTAACTTGAGTAAATCTTTCTTGAAGTCTTGATGTGTGAAGAGCCTCATACTTGATAACTGTTGAGCAGCTAGACAGCTGGTAGTTAGACCACTTTCCTGGGAAGGAGGACACTAAGGATACATCCAAGCGAGCACATACATGTGTTTCCCTGGGGACAAATAGCAGCAGCACAACTATGTGCTGCTGCTTGTCCCTGGAGAACGCCCCTGCTCATTCTACTTCTTTTTCTATGACTAGTGAGCCTGTACTCCATGAAAAGTGGGACAGCTTCATCTGAAGAAGCTAAGAGCCATCCCAAACTACCCTATAGACTGGTGGTTGGGGCAGAGTCTTGGAAGGTGGAAAATATGGGTTTGAATCTTCTCAGGCAGAAGAGAGAATTGAACCCAGATCTTCTGTATCCTGGGTAGGTGCTCCAACCAGGGAAGAGTTGGATAAAAGGCAGTTGGCACCACCCTTTTCTTTTCTTCTTCTTTTGCCCCATTTTGACTGAAATGGCTGATTCTTGCCCAGTATTTTGAAAGAAGAGGCTGAAGTGTTTACCTCTAGGAAAGGATTCAGGGCTGTTGATCTCATGTAAAGGGAGACACCTTCCTACAGCCCAGAAGAGTTCTGCATCACTAAGTCCAAGAGAAAGATGGGATTCAAGGCATCCTCCTCTCCAATATTTTCTCTTAGCTAGGTTAGGTGGCTCATGTTCAGTCATACCAGCTACTGTGAAATTCCTTCCTGAGGCAGTCAACTCTCCCACACATTGGCATCTAGCTCCGAGCTGTGGATTTCACTACCATAGCAAGGGGCTGAAAACTTAGGGGCTTCAAAATGAAATGTTGTGGTCCCTACTCCTTATGTAGTTTTAACCCAATGCTCCCAGTTTCTGAGCATTAAGTAGAGAGACCCACGGTACTTTCAGGATCTAAGCTAAAGCCCAGAGTGACATCAATTGAAAGGGTCCCATAAGGACCTTGAATCAGCCTTAAACAACCGCATTCAGGTAAATCATTCAGATGGCATTGTAAATTAATACTACTCTCAAGAACAGTAAGTATTATTGTTAGAACTGAAAGAAAAAATGCCAGTAAACATTCTTTTTCAGCACTCACAAGCAAGAACTGGAATATTATTTCAGCTATTTAAATAATGTTGTCTAGGAGGAGAATCACAAAGAAGTACTCAGCTGATGGAGAGAGTGAATATGGAAAATGGCTAAGCCTTGTCCTCTATCAGTTCTCAGTTATTCACTATTAATGTGTTAATAATGGAAGTCAAAAAGGAAAATGAAAAAAACAGCTTAACTTACCATAGACAGTGAGAGCTATAATAAGACTGAGGGGTTAGAGCTTCTCCAAAATATGTTAAAATGCTTTCTCAATTAGGCTGACATTTCCAGTAAGTCAGCACAGCAAAAGAGATGTTGATTAATGTTTTTAATAAATTCTTTCTATCTGTCCACGTAATGGCTTGGAAATTTCAACAGTGCTCTTGGGTGCAATTACCTCCAATGACTAGTTCCCAGAATGGCAAATCTGTACCCTAACTAAAGTACAGTGTGGGAGGCGTAATTTGAACTATTAATATATTGAAAATGGAAACCACTCACATTGGGGTGCAGGTTGGAAGGTTATATTGCTTGGTTCTAGTTTGGAGAGGAGGAGATTTTTTATGTGTTGTTTTTGACACAAGAACAGAAATAATCATATGACCTATGTTCCCTAATCTAGTTTCATATTCAAGCCTGGAAGACCACATGTACTTGAAATTCTGTTGCTGAAAGTGCCAGGCAGTCCTTCAGTGTGTCTGTTTTCAAACCTTTCCTCGCCAACAGTGAAAGTGGCTAGTAGTGTCTGTAGTGTAGTCACCTTTCTCATGTACAAATGCAACATCATGTTTGTGCTTTTCACTTTGTAGGGACCTCCTCCAGACCTTAACTGATGATGAGTTGCACACACTGGAATGTAACCTCTGCATATCCCAAGACCTGGATTTTCCTGTCAGAACAGATCCTGAAGTGCCATCTGTCATTACGCCTGCCTTAGCGGCAACTTTACCCACTGAAGAGCTTTCAGCAAAAGCTGAAAACACAGAGACTGAACTAGCTTGCTCTATGCAGTATGATGAGCAGGAATTGGAACAGCTGAATAGGATGGTCCATAGAGTAGGAGATGAGATGTCATCTTTGCTGTCCCCACCAAGCATCTGCCAGTCCCCAGCACATAGACCTGGCATAAGAAGCAGCTCCAGCTCAGAGGCCTCCCCAAGCAGGCAGTGTCTTCACAATTTAACTGATGAAGAAGACAGAGTGTTTTTTATGGATGACCTAGATGGAGCTGGTGAAGCTCTTGCTGGGTTGGATTCAGCTAATGACACTTTTGCGTGGGTGAACAGCCCTTGCCACAATTCAAAGCAGAGTGTGCGGTACAGGGACCCCTTAGTGTATGAGAATGGTCATGAGACAGAAGCAATTTTACTTTTGAAACAGGCAGAAAGTGACTTAACCAATAACAACACCATTGAAGATAGCAAACAGATGTCTGGTATCTCTGTTCAGAATTCATGCAGCTGTTTAGAAGGCCCTGATTCTCAGTTATACCTCAATGGGTGGGATGCATACGCTGATGATGCAGAAACAGCAGAGATGATAGCCCATAGGACTGGTGGAATGAAAATATCTGCTACTGTAATATTTAATCCCAAATCTCCCTCTACTTCAGACTCCCTGGAAACAACCCCAGAAGTAGCCGTTGGCTGTGTTCCTGGGTCTTCTGATCCTTTAGCTGATGAAGAGGAGAATGAAGCCCATAAACTCAGTATAGCTGCCACAAACTGTCTAATTAATTCCTGTGTATGTTGTGGCAGCTGTGAAGACAGCAGGGAGGAAAATATTGAAGGTATAAAGACCAAACATTCCCCAGGAAAAGTTATAAATGCTTCATATAGTTTAGTGAAATCTAAAGAAAAGGACCATATGGATAAATTGGACAGTACAGTCTCTGCACAGGAGGCATTAAAAACTGAAACTTCTCCTGCTTTGCTAGCAGAGACAGACTCTGGCAGAGAAGAGCAAAAACTGTCTAGCTCCTCTAAGTGCCTGGCACATTCCTCAGGTTCGCAGGTGGGAACAGAACATGCACCACAGGTAGAGGTGGAAATCTCCAATCAGCAAAAGAAATGGGAGAAAAGAAGGCAGGCATGTGCGATGCAATCAGAGAACAATGAAGAAAGTGGCAGTGAAAGGATAGCAAAGGAAGACATTAAATCAAGATCTAGTTCAAGGTAAGAGAAACTTGCCCTGATTATGTTACCTTAGGACTGGCATACAAAGTAACTGATTATAACATGATCACAGTTTTTACTCTCCTTGCTTTAGCGATAAGCGTATGTGGACTGATGGCTTATGTTTAAACAAACCAAATGCTGCCAGCCAAAGAATAGTTGGCTATTTAAAAAAAATTAAAAGATTTTCATAAAATAGTGAATTGAACTGTCAGTTACTTTTTTAAAAAAAATATAATGTGTTTTTAACAACAATTTGAAACAGGTATGTAAAGACTATAGCCCCTAACCTTTTAAATAAATGCATTAAATAATATTTAATCTGGTTAGTCTAACAAAGAATTATTCTACTGGAAACTATATGTTTTATTTTTATTTAAAAGTGTAACTTGATTCTATTTTTGTGATACCTTTGAAAAGACACTTAATATGATCAATCGTGGCACACAATGAATATTATTTTATGACGTTAGCACCAGTATGGAAGACTGGGAGTGGTAACAACCTTTACTGTGAATAGAAATACAGATTTAGATATTTTGCCTTTCTGATTTAATATCTTTTTAATAGGTGCTAGAAGAATTCCAAAAAAGGTATGGTACTTTCTATAAAAAAAAAAATATTTTGTGGGGGTTTTTTAGCACAGTTTTTCCGAAGTGTTTTATTTCTGAGGGAAAAGACCTTTTTAACAAAACAAAAACATTATTTTGAAAAATTCCAACTGACTTTTAATTTTTACTAGTTATTTTTACTAATTAATAATTTAATGTGTATATTTTTTTCCTCTTCAGAGGCGTCAAAGGATATTAGCTGACATTTATCCTCCCCAAAAAACAAGAATTGTTATCTCAATTTGGCAAATGGTATTGGGGAAGGTAAAGCAAAGCAATTTAGTGACTTATCTAAGGCATCGGAGTGAAGCCATACTGATAAGATTGGAACTCTGCATCTCCCAGCTCCCGGTCTCATTTTCAGATCAGCAGAGAGTCCTGATTGCTGTCTCCATGGTAGTGATACATACAGCTTTAAAAAGTCTGAATATCCCATACAATTTTTACTACAGCGAGGCACCTTGTAGAATCCACCAGAGAATTAGCACTTTTGCTGCCTTGTATATACTAGCCTGGAGCTCCGAGGTTTATTTATCACATACTATGGTGGAAGGGAAAAATGTTGGCTGAATTTTGCCTGAGTCCTATGCCCATCTTGTTGACAATTTCCCTAGTTTTATTGTGATTTGCTCAGAATAGTTTGCAGAAGTACATGTACTCCAGGGAATCAAAACACAGATGAGTGTAGCAAAGTGAGGCCAAGGCAGTGCCTGCTGTACAGTCCTTTTGTTTTCATTGTATTTGGGATCCCCAAATACATCAGGAGTTTGAATCCTGGGAGAGCTGTCACCCAAGGCCTTCAAATTAAAGAGTCTCCATTTGATCAACTGATTTTCCAGGTGATCACTTTTCCTTGCCTGCCCATATACTTATGAAAGCAATATAAAATTCTTCTCAGCTTTCCTTAATTCCTCTGTAAAAGATGTGAAGGAATCACTGTTCTACTTCAGATTTACACTAAGCTTCTTTGGTAGATAAAGTTTTGATCGATTCAAGGGTGCAGGCAGGATACAATCATTCTCCTACTTCTAAGTTAAGACCTGCTACTGTTTCCAAGGTCACAGCTGCCTGTGCTCTGCCTATCAAAATTATTTTGTCTGCTTCAGTTCACAGGATGATGAGTAATCACTGTGAAGAGTACAAAGCGCTATGAGTGTCTATGATGATATTCTAACTTCTACTACAATAGAAGCTTTCAATCTGTCAAGGAAAAAGAAGCTGAATCCCAAACCTGAGGGATGTATGCATCTTTAATAGTGTGCACTGTTACTTAAACTAGAGTGTCTTTTTTAAAGCTGATGTTTCACACAAGAGAAGGGGTTTGCAGTTCTACATTACATGAACGATTGGGTAGTTTGGGGAAGTGTAGGTGAAAGTTAACAGGCACAAGGGACTGACCTCCTGATATGCTGCTATCAGCATATGGAGATACAAAGTTTTCCCACACTGATCCTTAATATGTTGTCTTTTTTTAATGAGGTCTAGCCTCAGCTCTTGTAACAGGGTGGTCTGGCCCTTTATGTAGGGCAGACAGCCCTGGGGTAGGAGCCCAGCTGTGGCTGATTAGCTGGTGGATTAAAAGTACAAGGGAATGAGAGCAAGTTGCTTGAGCTGGAGTAGGAGCAGTTTGTGGGCAGAAGGCAGATGGAAACCCAGAGGAGCTCACTTCTAGGAAGGATCAAAGCTAAAAGTTAGAGGTGTAACCAGGAGAGAGCGGAGGGGGCAGCGGTGTGGTTCTCAGAGCCCGGGGCACAGAAGTCTTAGCCATGCCGGGAAATCCAAAGCAGTCTGAGGCTATGAGGCTGCTGCTGCTGTTACCTTGAGCTCTGCCTGCCCTGGCTCTTGCTTTTAAAGCAGCAGTAGCAGTGCATCCATGCACCACCATCTACTGCAAGAGTAATGCTGTAGGATTGCTCTTGCTGCTGGGGCATGGACTTTGCAAGGGTGGGGGATGATTTTGGCATCTCTCCTTAGTTGGCTGGTGAGGGGTGCCCCTCTTGCCCGCCCCTAGTTGTGCTACTGCTAATAGGGCCCTCTGTTGCTGCCTGGAGAAAGGCTAAAGGTTTTGCTTTGCTCATTTGCTTGTTTGGGTCAAGGGTTATTTTTTGTGGAATGGAGACTGGCTGAATGGCAGACAGCTGGGGAGGCTGCTCAAGCCCACTTATGAACTGCTGTTGACTGGGAGAGTGGTTCTCAGAGGGACAAAGCTCACTTGCACGGGAGCAGGCACGACAGCCTGCTTACAGTTCCCCTAACAATTGCTTTTCTCCATACTTTTATTATAGCTCTTATATTTTACGGTCTCTGTATGAAAACTTACCTTGTGCATGCCCTTTGAGATAAATACTAGCTTTTGCTCTGTGTGTATGGTGCCGTGGATAGCTAGTCCCTGCCTTGCACTTCCCCTTTTACAGTAGTACAAATGTTGCAGGTGTAGAAATGTCAAATAGTAATAGATACCAATAGAAATACTGATTAAATATAATAATACAGATAGGCAACATGGAGAAAAGAAATGAAGCCAAGAGTCCCTCTAAGCCAAAATATTTTGACAGAATTAAATAGGTGCTTCCTTCTGCCATTCATGCAGTGTGAATAGTTTGTCTCTCAGTCCTGGGCTTAGGATATCTGATATGCATGAACAGAATGAATTGGTTAATATTTGCAATTTTTTTCAATTGCTAGCACTGTTTCTTTGACCACTGCTAGCAGAGCTAGACTTGAAAAAAAACTTAATTGCTACATATGTCCATGTTTTGTTTTTTTCTAAAAATTGTGAATCACATGTTGACTGCACATTTTCTTAAAAAAAAACAAACAGTAAGTGTTGCTAAAATTTAAACACGCTAATAACCCTTTTTGCACATGAAACCATATTCCTTGTGTTCAGTCTCCTTTCCTAATACAGTGTAACATCATCCAACTCATTTCTTATTACTTTGAACATTTATGCTGTAAGTCTTGATCTTCACAAGCCCCAAGTTTTGCTGGGCCAAGTAAAGCATGGAGCTTATGAAGGCCCTTGGGAGTGATCATCCTTGGCCATGAGCGATTGCCGCCACTGCCATCGTCTTGGATTTTATAACCACATTCAGTGTCTCACAGTGGCAATGCTGAGGGAATTTCATCATTAAAAGTAATTAATGGCCTGGATCCTTGCAACAAATAGACTTTTTTGGTTTTTGTTGTTGCAACACTTGTGAAAGAAATCTTGTTTTAACATGTGCAGTATATCACTTCTAATTGTAGAGCCTACATAGCAATGCTGTACAGTGCTAAAATATCTATTATAAAGCCACAAGCAAAAAAATCTGATCGCTGGGATGTGCTCATGAAAATATGAAGTGATGTCTGCCAGGGCCATTCTACAAATCACAAAATAATGCAATGGAATATTAAGATATGGGAAGGGTTTTTGACTGACCTGCTAATACTGTTTATAAGCTTTTTTTCCCCCCCTCATTTCTTTTCTGTGTGGTCAATGTTATGTGCAGATGTTTCTCCTTTCTTTCATGCAGCAGTCAGATGTCCATGACAAACCAGTGAGCACATGTGGTATCCAGCACCATCTAATGCTTCTTGGTTAAATTTAGCCATTTTTGATTTTGTATATGTATATTGTTGAGACTACAACTTTGTGTGCCTGCTGTTATTGATGAGACACTAATTTCTCTTCATAAATGCGCACATTTTTGGTTAAAGTACTTGAAAGGGTAGTGTTACAGGTTACCTTTAAACTATAAGAAAGGTTACAGTCTTATCTTTTACCTTCAAGAAAGGGCAGAAAGTAGATCCTAGGAATTACAGGCCAGTCAGCTCAATCCCTGGTAAGATTCTTGAGAAAATTTATCAAGGAAACCCTTCTGGATAAGCTGGCTGAGGGCAACATCCTGAGGGACAGCCAGCACAGATTTGTCACGGGTAGGTCTTGCCTAACCAATCTCATCTACTTCTATGACCAGGTGACGCATCACCTGGACAAGGGAGAAGAGATTGACATCATATATTTGGATTTAAAAAAAGCCTTTGATATTGTGTCCCATGACCTCCTCATGGATAAATTGGCCAACTGCAGCCTCGGCTACACCACAGTCCGATGGCTGGGAAACTGGCTCCGAGGTCAGACCCAGAGAGTCGTGGTCGATGGCACGTGAGTCATTATGGCACTCCATAACCAGTAGTGTCCCCCAAGGCTCTGTCCTTGGACAGGTTCTCTTCAACACCTTTATCAGCGATGTGGACATTGGTGTCAGAAGCACACTGGCCAAGTTCACTGATGACACTAAACTTTGGGGCATAGCGTCCACACCTGAGGACAGGCTAGCGATCTAGGCTGACTTGGATAAACTTAGTAAGTGAGTGGAAACAAACCTGATGGCATTCAATACC